GGGCACACTCCCCACCACCACCCAGGCGCAGAGGCCGGGAGCCTCCCCAACTCGCCAGAGCTCCCCCTGAGCCTCCCCCGGCCCCGCTCGCCCCGTGCAGCTGCCCCCAGCTCCAGCGTCTCCCCTGAAGCCTGTCGCATAGCCCCAGGCCGCCCCACACGCCCTGTCCTGACGTCCTGACCCCCCCTACGGGGTCGCTGCTTCTTTCCCCATTCTACATTGTATTCTGTCTGGTCCCCTGTCCCCATTTATCAGTTCTTCCCTCTCTGCCCTGTGGCCTGTCACTTTTGTCCTTTCTCCACCTCACTGCCTCTGGCTCCCCAGTGACCCTATTTTAGAATTGCCCCCCTCTTCTTTTTGTACACATTGCTATTCTTTTTGCTCTCCAGCTCTCTTTTTTCCGGCTCGCTCTCCCTATTTCTTAATTCTTCCCTCTCTGCCCTGTAGCATGTAGCTATGTGGTTTGGTTTGTGTTGTTCCCTCCCCCGCCCCTTCCCTCCATTGTTCGCTCTCCCAGCTCCCCGTCCCTGTTGTTTCATTCCTCCCTCTCTGCCCTGTTCTTGTTGCTTTTTTGTCTTTCTCCATATCTCTCGGTCCAGCTTCCTGCCCGTATTCTTCTTTCCTCCCTCTCTGTCGAGCTGCCCGTCCCAGGTTTTTGCCTGCATCTCCATCCTGCTCCCCGTCCTTCTTTGTTGGCCTCTGTCCTGTTCCCTCTCCCTTTCTACTCTAGAAATAAGAAATGCTGTGCATGGATTTTCAGCTAAGACGTGCAAAGGGGATGAAAAATTGATGTGATTGAATCAACAGACTAAGAACATGTTAGCATCACACATGAAATACAAATCATGCAACTGTTTTCAGTATATATGCATAATGGTATAAGTGAGAGCAGAAGTTGGCTGAAAGATGGAAATTACCTTAATTTCTGTTGTCAAGACAAATACGAACAGAGGAAGGACACATCCTACAGTTTAAAGTCATCCCTGCCCTTGTGAGGAGCACTCAGCAAGGCATTCAACATTCATTTCACTTCTGGTCAGAGGAGCCACATCACCCCTCACCAGGTGTTACACCAGCCTCCTCCCCAGGCAGAGGCAGCTGAGACTTGTCCTGGCAGCTCCCTTGTCCTGGTTTTGGCAGGGATGGAGTTAATTTCCTTCCTAGTAGCTGGTACAGTGCTGTGTTTTGGATTTAGGAGGAGAATAATGTTGATAACATACCCATGTTTTAGTTGTTGCTAAGTAGTGCTTACACTAGTCAAGGACTTTTCAGCTTCTCGTGCTCTACCGACTGAGAAGGCTGGGGGCGCACAAGAAGCTGGGAGGGGGCACAGCCAGGACAGCTGACCCAAACTGGCCAAAGGGACATTCCGTACCATGTGACGTCATGCTCAGTACATAAACTGGGGAAAGCTGGCTGGGGGGGCTGCTGCTCGGGGACTGGCTGGGCATCGGTCGGCGGGTGGTAAGCAATTGCACTGTGCATCACTTGTTTTGTGTAGTAGTAGTATTATTATTATTATTATTATTATTATTTTATTTCAATTATT